ACTAAAGATGTGGGTCACCATACCCAGATTAATTATTTCTTTTTTTAAACAAATTATTTATTTATTATGTATATACATACTAGAAATGGGCACCAGATCTCATTGTACATGGTTGTGAGCCACCGTGTGGGTGCTGGGAATTGAACTCTGGAAGAGCAGCCAGTGCTCTTAACCTCCAAGCCATCACTCCAGCTCCCGAATAATTAATTGTTTCTTGATGATTAAGTTTTATACTTGTGAAAGGTTGGAATTTGGTATTTTATTTTTTGGGAGGGGGCAGCATCTCACTGTATAACCTGTGCGGACTTTCTGTGCTTACTCTGGCCGCCTCAGCCTCCAGAGGGTCAGGATTACAGGTGGGAACCACTGTGCAGTGCAGGGGTTTTTTATTTTTTCTCCTATTCGTTTGTTTTGCTTTTTGAGACAGGGTTTCTCTGTGTAACAGCCCTGGCTGTCTTGGAACTTGCTCTGTTGACCAGGCTGGCCTTGAACTCACAGAGATCTACCTGCCTCTGCCTCCCGAGTGCTGGGATTAAAGGTCTGTGCCATCACTGCCCTTTTCTCCTGTTCTTGACAGTGAGAAGAATAATGTTTCATACAAATTTATCTGGTTGAGAAAAAAAAAAGTGAAGCTGGGCATGGTGGTATAGGACTGTAAGCCCAGCTCTTGGGGGCTGAGACAGGAGGTTGCACAAGGTTTTTGCTACTGTTTTGATTTTTTGAGACAGATTATCTCTGTGTGGTCTTGGCTGTCCTGAAGCTTGCTGTGTAGACTATGTTGGTCTTGAAATTACACCTGATCCTTAGAGATTTATTATTATATTGTGTATGTGTAAGGGCATCCAGTCTCAGAGCTGGAGTTATAGCCAGTGAAGCCACTGGCCTGGGCTACATGTGGAATTCCCCTTTGTATGCTGTGAATATGTTTTATTACCATTGGTTAATAAAGAAACACCTTTATCCTACAGCAGGGCAGAATAGAACTAGGCAGAAAAACTAAACTGAATACAAGGAGAAAGAAGGTGGAGTCAGGGAGATGCCATGTAGCTGCTAAAGAAGAAAGATGCCAGAACTTACTGGTAGGCCACAGCTTTGTGGTGATACACAGATTAAAAGAAATGGGCTAATTTAAGATGTAAGAGGTGTGATTTTTCGGGTCTGAGAGGCTGGGAAACAATTAAGCAGTCTCCACTTACACTACAGGGTGAAGTTCTGTCTCAAGCTGAAACAAACAAATTGCTATGGAAGGTGATGAAATAGTCATGGCTCAGAGGTTAAGAACACTGACTACTCTTCCAGAGGACCTAGATTCAATTCCCAGCACCCACATGACGGCTCACAACTGTCTGTAACTCCAGTTCCAGGGGATCTGACACCCTCACACAGACACACATGCAGGGAAGACACCAATGCACTTGAAACAAATAAAATCATTAAAAAGAAGAATTATGAGAAAGAGAGAGAGCATGCACAGTCCAAGTCAAGGACATGAGGTGCACCAGCTACTGTAACTGTAGGCCTAGGGTAGAGGCGTTGGGAGACCTCCAGGTGCCTAGACCTTGTAGGGAAAATGAGATGGATATTATATACGGTGGATGCATGTGCACCCTTCAAGGCAGCCACCTCATCTGGGTGTCTCAAACAATAGGAACTGAGAAACAGATCTCACAAGCCCTCAGTGAGGGAAGTCTCAGAGTAGGCGACCCGTGGCCCTGGATGTCTCCCACAGAGGCCGAGGTCGGTTCTCAGGCTAGTCTGATGCCTTTGGTGCCACCATCTGCTCAGACCTCGGCTCCTGCATCACACAGGTCTTCCTGCCTCCACAGCCCTCGCCAGACCTTCAGTAGGGCCTGATAAGTTTTACAATGCTCCTGTCCCAGGTCGTGTGTAAGAAACATTTCTATACTTGCTTGTCCTCGTTCCAGAGGACCCAGATGTTCGTGAAAACACCACCTTTTATCCTGGCTTTGAGTAGGAGAATTAAGAATTCAAGGTCACCGAAAGCCCCCAAACAAGCTTTAGCAGAGGCTAACGTGGCAGCCCTCTCGAGAGGAATGACACTGGATTCATATGTAATAGGTATTTGTGACGGTATTGTTTGGACAGTGTCATAGTAGCTGCTGATTTGGGTGAGACTGAAGTCTGGGGTTCATCCACATAGAAGAGATGAGCTTCCTGGCATAGGCATACCCTTTTTGCCGTTCTCACAGGAGAGGGCTAGGGTAGAAAAGGAACCCCCTTCTCCCAGATCTCAAGCACAGGCATTGCTTCCTTGGACCAGAGTGCCAGGTTAGGAAGGGAGGTCTGTCATAGCACTTTGCAGTACAATGTGTCCACTCACCACCCTCAATGGGCCTTGCACTGCCAAGATCCCCAAGGTCTAGCACAGACACGAAACAGCAGGCTCTCAACATGTGTTTGCTGAATGAAGGAAAGTTCTTCCTTTGCCTAAGTCTGCTTAAGAACTGCCTTAGCTGGCATGTTGCCATAACAATCCTATAACCCCAGCACTTGGGGGACTAAAGCAGGAAGATTCCCTCTAGTTTGAGGCCTTCCTGGGCTGCTTAGTAAGACTCTGTTTCGAAAAACAAACAAAAAATAACCCAGGGGTGATGTCATGTGCCGATAGTCCTAGTCCTAGGGAAGTGGAGGCAAGCAGATTGTAAGTTCAAGGTCTCCCTCCACTAAACAGCAAGTTCAAAGCCAGTATGAATTACATGAGACCTAAAAAAAAAAAAAAAAAAAAAAAAAAAAAAAAAAAAAAAAAGTGGAGGCAAGGAGTGTGTTTTCAGAAAATGCCTAGCCTGGACCCGCATGGCACCTGCCTTTTCCTTGGGCTTCAGAGTGTTGCCCCTAGTGATCCATTTGCTGACCTTGCATAGCCAATCAGATTAAAGAAATCACCACATCTGTTGAATGCTTGCTAACGTGCCAGCAATCTATACAGATTACTTGGACTCCTTGTAGGAAATGTTACTATTCTCACAGGCGAGGAAACTGGAGCCTGAAGAGCAGTCAGTAAACTGCCTGAGATCATACAGTACAGATGTGAGGGAGGGAGGGAGGGAGGGAGGGAGGGAGGGAGGGAGGGAGGGGGAGGGAGAGGGGAGGGAGGGAGGCTGTGTGACTGTAGCTTTGCTGATCTTTCTTTCTTGTCCCCTAAGTACACTGGTGATGGCCAATGAGATGAATGGGGACAGCAGCTCTAGGACCCTGAACCAAGGCAGCAGGGAGAGGAAGGATGTGGCCCTTGTGGAGAGCTTACAGGGTCAACACTGAATTACTTAGTGACCTCAGACTCTTGATTCCCCACGGACAACCTGCCTAGGCCCGGTCAGGGCAGGCAGGAGACATCAGTTCCCCTTGGCTCTTTAAACGCTTGGCTGGTCATGGCTGGAAGCCAGAGATGGAAAGTAAGAGATTAGGCAAACCTCAAGACTAGACAGAACGGGCTGGTGATTGTATCTGCCCCTCAGAGGCCTGTGACTGAGAAAGGCATGAGGGCTGAAGTTCATCACTTCACAGGGTCGTAGGAGGGAGGACCAAGGGCGAGAGCCAGGGCTGGGCCTCTCCTAGGTAGCACACTGGCAGGGGAGTCTCAGGGAAGGCCTTCGGGGTCTCGCTCTATTGGGCTAGAAAGGATGATAACTGGTATCTGTCACACATTGTTAATATACCCAGGTCACACCTCACAAGTCTCATGTGCTGACCATATCCTGGCCCAGCTCTCCTGCTTTTCTAAGGGACTTCTAAAGCCCTCCCCGATTTAGTGACTGAAGCACTAACACTCGCTGGGCAGGGGCTTCCAGCACCCAGCCTGTTACATCCCTGTACCAGAGCCTCTGCTTATAGCTCCAGGACTGGGAACTTGGAACAACCCAAGCAAGTGCTGACCCCAAGCAGGGCTCAGGGGATAGGAGGTGATCTGGAGGGAGGGTCCCATAGATACTGAGCCATTATCTAAAGGCTGTTCCCGAAAACAACCTATGTGCTGACTGAGGTGTGATGGAAAGTCTCTGAACGGAGCCCACATGTTCCAGATGAGAGCCGTGCCACCAGAGCTGACCTCTGACCTTTCATGTGCCTGGCTGGACCCTTGCCAGGAAACTGGACACCTAGAATCCAGGTGTTCTCCAGAGTCCACACAAGGGTATGATGGAGGCTCAAGTCCCTAATGGGACAGTGGAGGAACTGGACAAGGAAGCAGTGGAGAAAGGAGAAGGCCCCTGTGGACGGCAGGTGTCGCACCCACAGTGCCAGCATCTCTGTCTGCTAGAGTCCTTCAGGGACCCAGCACCCAGTGACTAGCAGCCCCTTCCATGACTCTGTGGGCTCTGCGGCCCCTCTTTTTGGAGTCACAATCTCAGCTCAGCACTCAAGTGGTAGAGGCAGGGGCTTCTGAGAGGGGCCATCGGTTTAGCTGCCCAGCCAGGCAAAGAAAGTTCTCAGAGGAGTCTGATAGCCTAGTGTTAGCCAGGACCCCAGAGGACAGCTCTGTAGGAAGGGACCCCTTCCCAGACTTCCATCTCCCAGGGAATTCAGATTGGAGGGGGACAGCAAGAGTCCCCCTGCTGGGACTCAAGTGGCTTGTTAGTTCTCCTAGCCTAGAGAGCTCTGTCTCACCGCCACTCTCCAGATGAGGGAGTCAAATAGCCCTTACTTTTTCCATCTTTCGTCCTAACTTTGGGGGGGGGGGGGACCTGGTAGGACCTTTAAGGGATGCTAATATCTTGGGTGCCACTCTCTAACGCCAGGTTTGAGGAGACTCCTTTCTCCTCCCACCACCGTTCTGGCATCTGGGGCACAGTTGTGGGAAGCTCACACATCACCTGGGCCTCAGCAGGACCACGGGAAACAGGATCTGACCTGCACGGTGAGTCTTTGCCAGCCTCAAGCTGAGGGGTGGGGCTCTCCTAGGAGCAACACGGCCTCCGCGGGGCGGGGCCTCCCTTTGCAGCTGCAGGAGTCGGTTTGGCAGGCACAGCAGTGCTGGAGTTTGGGACAGAACTGCACCCATGGCCCGCACTCCTCGCCACCGGCGCCTGGTCCTGCCGTTGCTGTGCCTGCTCTTCCAGGGCGCCACCGCCCTCCTCTTTGCGGTCTTTGTCCGCTATAACCACGAAACCGACGCTGCCCTGTGGCACTGGGGCAACCACAGTAATGTGGACAACGAGTTTTACTTTCGCTACCCAAGTGAGTGAGGGTGAGGGTGTGGGAAGCAGAGACTCGAAGCCCTGGGTATGTTGGGAAGGGCGCTTGAACGAGGGGGTACTCCTTCCACCGAGGTGACAACCAGGGCTTTAAAATAGCCCCTTCCTCTAGTGTCCATCTTGTTCCCGGCACTGCTGGGCTGGCACGCGCTCTCTCTCAGGCTGAGGAAGGGTCAGGCTCAGGGTCACATAGTAAGGGGAGCTGAAGTTTCAATCCCCTTGTAAATAGGCTCCGTGTTAATCAGTGTCTCAGGTCTCACCTTCCATTAGAGCTAATTCGACTTTGTCTAGGAGTCCAGCTTGACCACAGGAAAGAGAAGCCTGCTGAGATTGACAGGCAGGGTGCTAGAGAGGACAACACCGGGCAGGCTCACCAGGGGCAAGGCCAGCATGAAGCGGGTGGGGGACCCTTGGCAGGGTCTAAGCTGGCTGTGATGTGCCTGTTATCACCCGCCATGGGTCCAACAGCGAGAACGGGGTGTAGACACCATAAACTCCTCGACCAATGGCCATTGGCCTCCTAACATGGTTCCGGATGGGGCGTTAACTCCCAGATAGAGACAGGGCATCTCCCTCAAGCTGGGTATCTGGAACCAAACGTACCACCCTCTCACAAGGGCCCAAGTCAACCTTATTTAACTCCAGTTCCCCATCCAGGCAGCAGGAAGAAGCTGGGTGTGGCGGTTCCTGCCTGGAATCTCAGCACTCAGGTGTGGAGGCAGGAAGATCTGGAGTCCGGGGTTAGCCTTGGCTATACAGGGAGTTTGAGACCAGCCTAGGCTGCACAAAATCCTGTCTCAACAAAACAAAACAAAACAAAAAAGGAACCCCAGGTGGGTTCGTGCACGCTTTTAATCCCAGTACTTGGGAGGCAGAGACAAGCGGATCTCTGAGTTCAGGGCTAGCCTGGTCTACAGAGTGAGTTTCAGGATGGCCAGGGCTACACAGAGAAACACTGTCTGGCAAAACAAAACAAAACAAACAAAAAAGGAAAAAGAAAAGGATCTCAGTTTGAAGGACATTCAGATAAGGTCTGGGGTATGAGAGCCCTCCCCCAATAAAACAATGAGGCTATTACCACCCACTTTCTACAGCTGAGCTGGTGGCAGGCTGTCTCCACCTCACTCTGTCCTGGCCTTAGCTCTGGGGACATAGAGGATTGTGGGAGATTTTGGACTGTAGCAGGAAACACCAGACCCCTAACCACCCACTGCACCCACTTCTCCACAGTTCATTCCCAAGTGTGTCAGGGAATCAGCAACCAGGCCACAGAAGCTGGTATTCAAACCAAAGCCCTAAAACTGACCATAGAGACTGGGAGCTGGGAGGAAATGGGTCAGAGAAGTGAGGGAGGTGAGCTTTGGTTCCCTGTCTAAGCTGGGCAGGAGCAGTTTCACTTGGGGCCTCCAAACCCACCTGTTTGTTCCAAATCCCTCTGCGAATCCCCTGTTACCACTGCGGTAGTGCTGGGCTCTCCCCCCAAGAGGGCAGCCAGAGGATCAAGACAGACTGAGCGCCTATCTGCCCTGGTGTCAATTTCTGTGGACTTTGACCCTGCTATTTGGGGAAAGCTAAGCAGGAGGGAGATGTGAGGTCCCTGAAGCCTGGGCTTTGATGAGCCGAGTCCTGACCCTGTGTCCAGAGAAAAAGGTCAAGGCCAGAGGGCGGGGAGAAACAGCCTTTGACAGGGAAGATGAAAGGGTTGTGTGGCGGGTGGCGGTGGCCCCTGGCCCCGTGGCTGCGGGCGTGCTCACTCTCAGAGGCCGGCTGTAGATGGCAGATGTCCCTCCAGACAGGACAGGATGGGCCCTCAGATTCTATGGTCTACCTCTCTAGATCAGATGTGGGCAGAGAACCAGGAAGGTCACTCACCTACCCAAGATCACACGGTGAATTACCAAAAGAGTGGCGCTGGGCCTTGGCTCGTGATTCCCTCCCCATCGCGATGCGCCTGCCACACTCCGTCACCTGGCTCACATTACCTTTTGGGTAGGGCCTAGCAACGTAGCCCAGGCTAGTCCTAGACTTACCGTCTTCCGGCCTCAGTTCCCCAAGGACTGGGGAATACGGCGTGAACCGCTGCTCCCTGCCTATAGCATCTTATTCTGCAAACCAAGTGGTTCAGAGTAAAAGGGGGAAGTCCTCTTCCAGGTGGGGGCAGGGGCTGGCTCACAGTGGGTCCTTGTCATAGAATCAGAGCCATTTTAGGGGACATGTAGATTGGGACTGTGACCTGCCCTGGGAGGATCTGGCCTCTTTTCCGGAAGCTGGGGTGGAAGAGGCTCGGAGATGGCAGCTCCCACTCCCCTCCGCCTCATTTCTGCCTTTTATAGAGGAGGCATCTGAGGCTTAGAGAGACCTCAGGTCGTGTGCCCAAGGTCATGAGGTCAGCTGCACCGGATGCTGACACGTCAGCCCTAACGGTAGCCGTGCCCTAGTCTTGCCCTGGGAGGAAGGACTGATGTGGTAGCCCGGAGGATTTGGGGTTTTATTTGTTCTACCCTGTTTTGTTGTTTTGTTTTGTGACGGGGTCACATCACTCAGGCTGGCCTCAAACTCATTGTATAGTCCAGTCTGGCCTTGACCTCCTCATCTTCCTGCCTCCACCTCTTACAGGGCAGAATTACAAGTGTGTGCCACCATGCCTGGCTGGGATTGAGTTTTCAGTACAAACAGTAGCATTTAAAACAAGCTCAGAGCAGTTAGAAGTTCCTGCATGAATGGGCTTTGAAACATGCCACCCAGCCCCCTTGGTTTCTTGCTGTCCTTGGACAAGAACAAAAAGAGTTCCTCTTGGATGTTTGAGCAAGGCAAAAGGCAGAGAAGTCTGAAAGATTGTAAGCTAGCCCAAGTGTGGTAGCACACTCCTTCAATTCCAGCACTCAGGAGGCAGAGGCAGGCAGATCTCTGTGAGTTTGAGGCCCAGCCTGGTCTACAGAGTGAATTCCAGGACAGTCAGAGCTACATAGTAAGACCCTGTCTTGGGGGGAAAAAAGGCTGGGGGCTCCTGAGTTCTAAGTGTGCCTCTCCTTTCTATTGTGTGTATGATCTGGGTCACCCTGAGGAGGGGACAACATGCCCTGGGCACCCAGGGTTGCAGGAACGAGCAAGGCATTGCTAGTATCTGTTTCAGCTCACACATGCAGACAGCTCTGAACCGGTTTCTCTCAAGGCTCCTGCTTGCATCCCAAAGTTCAGTAGCAGCCTTCAGCCTCTTGAGATCAAACAACACAGAACACGAGCTTGAGAACCTGCTTCTTCCTATGAGAAATTCAAGGTCATCCATGATAAAAATGTATACAAGTTGAATATCATTATGAAAGTCCTTGGAGTCAGAAGTGTTTTGGTTTGGGAGTGTTTATGTATGCATAATGAAATACCTTGAGGAAGGCAGTCAAGCCTAGACAAGCAATCCACAGCCGTCCCACACTTACTCTATACAAACAGCCTGAAGGTGATTGCCTCCAATGTGTTCAGTAAGCCTGCATTTTGGGTAAAGCCCATTGGATGAGACCCTGGGTGGGTGTGGAATTTTTATCTATGGCATCACACTGATGCTTGAAAGCTTTCTGATTCTGGAGCATTTGGGGTTCCCCGTTTGCACAGTGGGCGTGCATAAGGAAAGTCACGAGGGAAGATGAAGTGCAGCATTTGAAGTGAGGATTGTGTGAGAGCGTGGACATGTGACATCACCACAGCTCCAGCTCCCAAGTGGCCAAGGAGAAAGGTCAATCTGAGAGTCTGTGTTCTCACCAGCAGGCTGATTCTCCAGTCTGACTCCGCCCTGAGAGCGGGAACTGACTTCTTGGTGGGAACTGTACCCTGGGCCCCATCCACAGATACTCAGCATATCTATTGCTCACAAGCGAGAGACAGACATCTTCTCATCCCTAGTGCAATTTCTCATGTGGAATGTGAAAGGAAGGAGGACTTAGGGTGCTGTCCCTTGTCCCCAGGCATTTGCAGAAAGGGAACTCCCACAGGCTTTCTGCTGGTGGGTTTTGTTTCTGCTTGTTCACGTTTGTTTGTTTGTCTTATTCTGTAGTCAAAGCTGTCCGGAAACTAACTCACTAGACCAGGCTGGACTTGAACTCAGAAAGATCAGGGGCTGGGATAAATGGTGTGTGCCACCATGTCTGGCCTTGTTCTCGATCTTTTGGGAGGGGCTCTTACTCCCTAGGCTGACCTTGAACTTGGGGCACGTCTCAAGTGTATGCCACGTCCAACCACTCACCTGGAGATGTCGCGTCCAACCACTCACCTCGTTTGAAGAAGGATCTCGTCTCTGTGGCTGTGCTGCTGTTGCAGGCCAGCAGGACTGAACTAGGCGATTCTCCCCCTCCCATGTCACTGTGGAGCGCCGGAATTATAGCTGCGCCTACCATATCCAACCTTTTAAATGGGTTCTGGGATCATCAGCCTTGCCTGTGTGGCTAATGCTTTTGCCTGCTATTCGTCTTCCAGCCCCTTTAATGATGATTCTATATATCTAATCACTCAACAACTCATTTGTATACATCTTATTCTCAGTATTACTCTGTATTATGAAGAAAGCAAAGAGAAAAGGCCCAAGCCTTTCTGTCCAGAAGTCCACCATTTGCTCAACAGTTCAAGGACACAGGTCATGTGTGGTCCCTCACTGTGAGCCCAGCTCTTGGGCAGCTGAGGCAGGAGGCCCAGAGTCTGAGGACAGCCAGACTACTCAGTGTGACCCTGTCTCAACAGAGCAAGTGTGATGTATAACACAAAAAATTCAACATATAGAAATAAACAAACAGGAAGTCAGTCCTCACACCTGAGGACGCCTGCAAGACACAGGTTCCAGGAAGTCAGTCCTCACACCTGAGGACGCCTGCGAGACACAGGTTCCAGGTTCTGTCACTGCACGCACACCACAGCAGTCTGCCCTCCCTTCAATTCCTGTGCGGGTGGGCTTAGTCCCTGTTAATAATTCGAAGCCATTTCCTAAGCTATTTTTATTCTATTCTCAAAATAGGGAGGTATAGACTTGGAAAGATGAGAGATGGAAGTTAGACATTAAGAAGGGCTTCCTTGTGGCTCGGGAGATGTCTCAGTAGGTAAAGTGTTTGCTGCGCAAGCTTTAGGACCCAAGTTCAGATCCTCAGCACACAAGTAAAAATCAGGTTAGCAGCACTCACTCATGATCTAAGGGCAGAGAAGGACAGACCCCAGGGCTTGCTGGCCGTCCACTCTGTCACGTTGGTGAGGTCCAGGCTTGCTGAAGGATCCTATCTCATTGCAAGGCAGAGAGCATGGTGGAGGGAAACATGACACCTACCTCTCTATACACATATGTACACGTGTGCATACATATACATGAGAATATGTACACACTACACACGGGGAGAAGGAAAGTGTGTGTAGAAGAGACAGGGCTGCAGCAGCAGAGAGTACTGACTGAGCTTCCTGTTCAGGTGAGCAAATGGGTCAGGGAGAAGGAGAGCCAATGCTGTAGCAGGAAGTCTAGCTCTTCCCTCGAGCAGGGGGTGTATGGGGGGGCAAGGGTGACCTAGCCCTGCTGCTCCAGGCTGGACCTTTGTTCCAGCTGCTGGGGGAGGGGTCGGACTCAGGGGAATTTATAGGCGTGGTGCTACTTCAAGGCAGTCCTGACTAGAGGTCTGTGTTGGCTGGTGGGTGTGACTGGAGCAGGCCTCACAACTCTGCCTCTCCCTCCCTCCGGCCCCTCCCCTGTGCGCCCGCAGGCTTCCAGGATGTGCATGCCATGGTCTTCGTAGGCTTTGGCTTTCTCATGGTCTTCCTGCAGCGCTATGGCTTCAGCAGCGTGGGTTTTACCTTCCTCGTGGCCACCTTCACCCTGCAATGGGCCACGCTGGTCCAAGGCTTCCTTCACTACTTCCACGGCGGCCACATCCACGTTAGTGTGGAGAGGTGGGCAACAGTACGCCCCTGGCCCCCCAAAGGCCCTGCTCCCCAGAGGGTTCTCCAGGCTGCTGTCTGTTCTCACTGTCTACGTTCACACACCCCTCCTGTTAGGCCTTTGTCACCCCAGCTCCCAGAGGACTGGCAGCTAGCGAAAAATGACACCTCCTACCTCCTGCTTCTTCTCCTCTCCAAGGGTGGGTGGCACCCCCTGATACCCAGGAGAGGTCTGTCCTCACTGTGCCCCACCATGCCCCTCACCTCTCCCACCCTGTGTAACTGCAGTTTGATCAATGCTGACTTCTGTGCGGGAGCTGTGCTCATCTCTTTCGGGGCTGTTCTGGGCAAGACAGGGCCAGCGCAGCTGCTGCTGATGGCCCTACTGGAGACGGTGCTGTTTAGTGTCAACGAGTTCATATTGCTCAGCCTCCTGGGGGTAAGTCTGCCCGGAGGAGGTGCCACCCACCCAGGTGTTGGTCAGCCTGAGAGGAAGATGGGTGGGGGCGGGGCTGCCTCACAACCCCTGTCTTTCCCAGGTGAAAGATGCTGGGGGGTCCATGACCATTCACACATTTGGGGCCTACTTCGGGCTGTTCCTCTCACGGGTCCTCTACAGATCCCAGCTGGAGAAGAGCAGGCACCGCCAGAGCTCTGTCTACCATTCTGACCTCTTTGCCATGATTGGTGAGACCTGCTGAGGTGAAGTGGCGTGAGGAAGAATTCCTGCACTGTCAGAGGCCTTTGAGTCCTTCCTACTTGTTTTTGGGGGGCCTGAAATCCATGCTTATCATTGCCCCTAACTTACAACTCAATGCTGGGGTACACAGGAGCTCACACCAGGCGCTGAGGCCTTTCAAATCTACCTCAGTCCTGCTTGAATCCTCCCTGTCTCTGCAGCCCACACGTGTGAAGCCAGACCCATCACCCACCGTACAGTCCTTTTTCTCTTGTGCCCCTGCCAGGTCTGGTCACCTGCGCTTGAACTGGCCTCCTCAGCCTAAGGACTCCTCCCCACAGTCAGGCAGGGAGGTAGGAGCCCTGGACCACCCCGGGAACAGTAGGGCCTGTTTGCCCCAGGTTCCCCCCTCAGGTGGCACACTGCCCTCTCGGCCCTCACAGCTTGCCATCCGGAGCCCGTGTTTCCTGTGGAGTGTTGAAAACAGTCCTTGCCTTCTCTACCCTGGGCACAGGACAGTGAGAAGGTCCTCATCTTGAGGCAGTATTAGGACTTTGAGCCAAAGTGAAGGAGCCCGCAAAGTCCCTGCTTCTTCTTCCCTCTCTGAGCTTAGTCAGAAGGCTTAGAGCAGGGCTGGGCAGTGGTGGTGCACATCTTTGACTCCAGAGGCAAAGGCAGGTGGATCTCTGAGTTCGAGGCCTAGCCCAGACTACAGTAGGAATTCCAGGACAGTCAGGGCTACACAGAGAAATCCTGTCTCAAAAAAAAAAAAAAAAAAAAAAAAAAAAAAAAAAAAAAACAGTCTGTGTGTGTTGGGGATGGAAGCCGGAGTGCAGCATGGGCTAGGCCCCATGCTGAGCAGTCAGACCTAGCGGCCCATGAGACAAGCATTTATAGGCATCATTCCCTCAACTCTCATCATAGAAAGATGTTTTTTTTTTCCTGACAATTCCAGGAACCAGCGAGGAAACAGGCTGCATAATAATTTCTCTGCAGTGCAGCGCCCCCTGGTGACGAGGGCCACTTACTACTAGATGCTCACTGTGGCTACCCACTGTTTAGGGACCATCTTCCTGTGGATTTTCTGGCCCAGCTTCAACTCTGCGCCCACAGCGCTTGGAGATGGGCAGCATCGGACAGCACTGAACACGTACTACTCGCTCACTGCAAGCACCCTCAGCACATTTGCCTTGTCAGCCCTTGTCAGTGGGGACGGCCGACTGGACATGGTAGGGGGAAGCAGACGGGCAGCCTGTAAAGGGAAGAGATGTCTAAGATTACAGGGGAATGAGAGCTGGCGAGTAAGTGGCCAGATGACAGCAGAGGCCACTGGAATGGGTGGGACTGGAATGGGTGTGGGCGTGATGATCTGAAAAGATACCTTGTCCCCCGTAGGTCCACATCCAAAACGCAGCACTGGCTGGAGGGGTCGTGGTGGGGACGTCAAGCGAAATGATGCTGACACCCTTTGGGGCTGTGGCAGCTGGCTTCCTGGCTGGGACTGTCTCCACCTTGGGGTACAAGTTCTTTACGGTAGGTTGCTTCTCAGGACCTGGGGAGAAGAAGCATTTGAGGGAAGGGGCCTGCACCAGGGACATGGGATCCCCAGCCCTTTTGCTACCTCCCCCACCAGGTTCTGGGTAGGGGTAGGTGGACTGCCCACAGCTGATTACCCAACTTGTCCTCCAGCCTGTCCTTGAGTTCAGATTCAAAATACAAGACACGTGTGGTGTCCACAACCTCCATGGGATGCCAGGGCTGCTGGGGGCCCTCCTGGGAGTCCTGGTGACTTGGCTGGCCACCCACGAGGCTTATGGAGATGGGTGAGTCTACACTAACCTCCCTGGAATGATCTCCCTTCTCCTCTGAGAGCCAAGAAAAAAAAATGCCCATCTGTTCTCATGTACCCATTTGGCTATTCTCCCACCATATGGTGAGAGCCGAGGGCCTGCCCAGGCCTGGCCTCCTGGTCAGTGAAGTGGATGGTCACAGAGAAAACAATTTCAAGAGCATTGAGCATTCCTTCAGGACCAGTAAGCGATAATGAGCCCTGGGATCTACAATTCACACTGTGAGCTTGGAGTAGGCAGGCAAAAGGGATCTTGGACTGGGTTCTGGAAGGTACGTGGGGTTGGCTAGCTTAGGAAAGGAGGTCAAAAGTGAGGCCTGGCCGGACAAAGTCCTCGGTGAGACAGTGGGGATCCTTGGACACACTCTGGCTGCCGGCACCTGCATGCCACAGTGACCAGCCCTGGCTGCCAGCTCATCTTTCCCTATTGGCCTCCTTTCAGCCTGCAGAATGTATTTCCGCTCATAGCCGCCGGCCAGCGCAGCCCCACATCTCAGGCGGTTTATCAGCTCTTTGGGATGTTTGTCACACTGGTGTCTGCCGCTGTGGGGGGCAGCCTTGCAGGTGAGTGGGTTTCGTGGGCAGGGTGGTGGGTGAGAGGCCCAAGAACAGGAGCGCAGGAGGAAGAACAAGGGATACCGCGCACTTCGTGCGGTCCTCTCGGAACTCCTGCCTGCGCTAGCAAAGGCGCAGCAAAGGTGCTGGTGGGAGATTGCACCTTCCAGGGGAAAGGACGGCCGGTCCCTTGGTTAAGGGGTCTGACGTTCCTGTGCTGCTCCCTGTGCCACTAGAGGGCAGTCCAACCCCAGCTGCTGGGAAGGGGCCTGTTCAACCTCCTCCTCTAGATAGCAGGCAGGTTAAGCCCACCCTGGACCAGAGCACAAAGCCTTCCGCAGAAGCTGTCTGTTCACTGGCTTAGGTCAGAGTCCCTCCTGACATCTGGCTTTAAGAACAAAATCCCAGCACTTAAGAGGCAGAGGCAGAGGTAGGTGGATTTCTGAGTTCAAGGTCAGCCTGGTGGGCTACAGAGTGAGTTCCAGGATAGCCAGAGCTACACAGATAAACCGTGTCTCAAAAAACAAGAATCAAAAACAACAAAAATGAATAAAGTGTGATGGAACATCACTAGCCTCCCATATATATGCTCATCCTGAAAACTTCGCTCTCCACAGTCCAGCTTTCCAGGTCACATTTTATACAGTAAACTTCCTCTAGGTCCCTCCTATGTGGGCCACAAAAAGATCACAGCTATGTTTCACAATAGAACCCCAATAGGACCGTGAAGCAGATTCTTTTAATTCCACCAGCTGCCTTCTTTGTGGGTAATGGGGGGGGGGGGGTAGCCACCTTGTAGGGCTACACCTTCTCAGAAAGGGGGCACTCTGCAGCCCTTATCAACCTGTGCTCCTAGGTGGCGACCTCCCTCTTGGGTAGGGACTGGGGAACCTTACATATCCTTCCCTATGGCAACCAGGACTCCTGCTGAGGCTGCCCTTCCTGGATTCCCCTCCAGACTCCCAATGCTTCGAAGACCAGGTTTACTGGGAGGTAAGGCATGGGCTTTTCCCCATATGTCATCCTTGGCTGCCTGCCCTTACCTCTGGGCTGCCACTCCCCTCTTTCCTTCACCCCTCCCTGCCTTGCAGGTGCCCGGAGAGCAGGAGGCTGAGGTCCAGAGACCTCTGCAGTCTGAGGAGACCCAGGCCTAATTGCTGCCAGCATGACACTGTCTTCAGAGAGGATGGGTTCTGCAGGCATGACACCACTGTCGTCTTCAGAGAGGATGGCTTCTGCCGGCATGACACTGTCTGTCTTCAGAGAGGATGGCTTCTGCCGGCATGACACTGTCCTTGGAGAAGACAATAGCTCTGCCAAGAGGCCCTTCTCAGCCCTTTACAGGGAGGTCTAGAGCCAGAAGGGGCTTACCACCTCTAGGTGGATCCCCATTAGCTTGCTCCTGTAGTCATAATAGGCCCAAGTCAGCCCTAGATGACCGCTACCCCACTGGCCAATGTTACCCTGTCCCAGTGACACCTGAACCAGGCCTACTCTGGGTGGGAGACTGGATGATAAACAACACCATCACCAAGGACCCTGATACCTTCCATTTGTCTCTTCCCTTTGATTCCCGAGGCCAAGTTCTTGAGGCAATCAAAGATCTTAGTGTTGACAAAGTCTCCTCAGGTCCACATGCTCCTAAATATATGTCTCGGATAGTTCCACCCTCTTCAGTGGGGCGTCAGTGTCAGAAAGTCTGTGCTTGTTTTAGCCAGCTAACGCTGCCCCCAAATCCTTCCTGGTCCTTCCTTAACTGCTGCTGCCCTGGCCCTCAGCTGGGTTCGCGTCTGAGCAGAGTAGAAAAAGGCCCAAGAAGGGCATCAGAAGGAGTGTCCTACCACAAAATCTCAGAGCCAGAGGAACTAATGCCAGTTCACAGTCCTGTCCTGAGCAGGAAGGTGGATGAGGAAGGCGCCTGGAATCCCGGTAGCCTAAACCATTTGACCACAAGAGGGCACTCTAAAACCAGCAGAAGAAGATGCCAGCCCCAGGTTTCACCTAGGTCCCTTGCAACCTAACCTTCCTAGCTGCCACAGCCTTCTCTGAGCTCCACCCCTTCTGTGTGTCAGATGATGTCAGAAATTCCATATCTCACCCACTCACAGGGACTCCCCCCCCATCAGGAGGGACTGGGACCCCTCTTCCTTCTCTCACTTGGCCTACTAGTGGGCTTCTGGCAATCACAGACACATCTACCTCCAAACTAAGGTCCTTCCGAGCTAGGAAGCCAAAGGGGAAGAAGTATCCTGGAGCTCAGCCTCTGAGAACGGCAGAGTTGCCCAGGGTTTACCTGGGCTCTCTGGGTTCAGGTGGAGATGCTCTCCAGGGAGCTCTCTTGTTCCCTCAACCTTCTCCCCTCATAGAACCCTGCCCGTTGCTGGGTGAGGATCCCAGGACTGAAGCAGAAAGCTCTTAAATCACTGTGAAAAAGCAGCTGGGATAATTGGGACCCAGCTCGGATGGGTGATGGCCAGCCAGCTGGCCTGCCCTGCCCTGCCCCCGTTGCTGCCCAGGCTTTCCTGTGAACATTTTCAGTCTCTACTGCTGGTTTGTTCTAAACTGCAACCAAGCCTTTCTTCAGGCCTGAAATAAATGGGCTCTTCCGGCTCTGGGAGAAGTCATCTCAATCCTGGAGAAGGGAAATGTGAGTTCTTCTTCAGATAGGGCAGTCGCTCTGTCACTAGCCCCAGGGTGGCCTGACAAAAGGTCACTGAGAAGAGAGACAAGGTGAGGGTGCTCATGACCTACGACATCACCAGTCACTGCCACAGAGTCCCGTGTGCAGGATGACGCAGACTCCACCGCCAGCTCTGGTGTTCTGGCTCTGCTGTTCGGCGCACTCCATCAGGGCCTACCTCTTTAAAACTACACTTTCGTTTTCCCTCGTGTTTTCTTTCCCCGGTTGCCTTCAATGCAGAGGCATATGGTGGGCCCTGCATGGCGTCCATTTCGTCCATTGGAGATCCCAGTGAAGGCCTGAGAGCACAGGAAAGACAGGTCTCTCTGGAGCCCTCCCTCCAGCCAGGAGCCCCCAGACCTGTTCAGAATGGGTCAGCAGATGCCAAGGACAGGGGCATGTCATCCCTCAGGACAATAACAGTTCTGCTTCTCAGGTCCAGGGGACACTTGCCTGCTCATGAACTCTGTCCAGCCCCAGTGCCTGAGCCCTGGGAACAATGTTGGATCCTCACCTCCTGCCTCCTTCTGGAGACTAGACTGAGGAGCAGGTAGGCTGTTGGGGAGATGAGGCCAGCGTAGCCAGAAGCTTTGCAGAAGCCCCTCAGGAGCCCCACTATTCCGGAGTGGCATACTTTGTGTGCACTACAGCAAGGATCCATGTCCAAGGCTAGGACCTTAGGGTCTGGGGTGGGAGGTTACCTGGCCCGGAGAAGCCTGCGACGGGCCGGGAGCATTGGGATTCGCGTCACGGTGCGGGCCGTTCCTTGGAGGAATTAGACACGGCGCGGCATCCGAGGTGCGGCCCGGTTGCCCCGGTCGCCCCCCCCCCCCCCCCCCCCCCCGGCGACTTTGTCTGGTACGCTGAGCCCACCACCCGGCCCACCGCCCGGCGCCCCACGCGCAGCCAACAAAGCGGGCTTCTGTCGTCCCTGGGCCATATGCAAATGTTCCAGGCGGCCAGCCTGAAAGGGTCGGGCAGGGGGCGGCCGTGCTCCGGGAATAGAACACCATTGTCTGTGCCGTTCGTGGCAAGAGGACCTGCACCAGCTTCGGGAGTCAGATCGAGTGGGTGCGCAGTGTCCCCCACCCCTCAAGCAGGCCTCTGCAGGCAACCCATACCTCTGAGCCACCGTGGCTAGGGTTCAAACCCGAAGCCCAGTAGCCATCGCTGCGCAGGGCTCGCCCTCCTACCTTTTTTAACATCACATTGGTCCAGGGTAGTCTGATAGATGCTACTGGTGCCAGTTCTCTTCCAGAGAATCCAGTACTCAGGATGTCCCCCAAGAAGAGCAAACTACAGGGCAATGTGCCCTGTTGGGTCTTCTGTGATGAGTGAGCAGTAGGCCGCTTTTACTGGAGGACCTATCAGCTAAAGCAAAATAGAGGCTGAATTTCTCCAGTGATACTGCTGGAGGTGCGAGAAGGGAGCCTCAAAGTCAGTGGTTCAGCCAAGAGGGATGGCCTCAGAGAGCAGCCACAGTACGCACAACCTGTAACTCAGGACACAGACTCTAGATTCCTGACGCAGGACTAGAGTCCACCTTTTTTAAGCTCCCAGGTGAGAGTCACTCCGGTAAGGGCTCTTTAGAGAGATCCCCTGGGCACTGGACTTGGGAATAGAGTTTCAGGCAGAATCAATCAAAACAACCCCAAAGTGAAAAGTGGGCCTAGTGGGATTCATTCCAGCACTCAGAAGACAGGGACAGGTGTGTCCCCGTGAGTTCTACGTTGTTCCATGACAACCAGGGCTATGCAGAGAGACCCTGTTTCCAAAATATGAAAGCAAGGTGTGCCGGGTGTGGCGGCCTGTGCCTGTAACCTCAGCACTGGAGAAGTTGAGGCTGGGCAGGAAATTCAAGGCCGCTCTGAACTACAAACCCTGTTTCAGGATAGCCTGGGGTACGAGAGTCTATCAAATAAAGAAGAGAAACATCTAGATTTCTGCTGCAGTGAGTAGACACGCTGCAGAGGCTGGGGTGAGGTGCAGAGGAGCAGCTCTCCCAGGAAGTCTTGAGTGGGGGTGAGGGCAGCCCCAGTACTGGACTCAGGCTGAGTCTTCCTGCTTCTCCTGTTTCTGGGATAGCATTTGAGACCCTAAAGAACAGGAGGGGAGTTGGCCAGGGGATCAGTAGAAGCTGTAGCGTTTCCTGGTGCCAAGAAAGCAGACATAATTCTCCACTCTTGCTTAGTTCCTTGGAAACAAGTTCTCTGTCCAGATCTCTGTCCCCACAGGGTGCTTACAGATGCCTGCACAGCCCGAGGGCAGGGCTCCTGGCAGGGCCTGTGAGGCCCAGGGAAGCAGGCTGCTGCGCAGGCGTCCCCGGGACCCCAGAGCTTTACTTTCCCACCCTGCTCTTGGCAGGAGAGTCCTCAGCAGGATCCCCCCACCCCATCCTGCCCCAGCACCCCGCCTTCCCTGTGTTCAGGACACTGTGGGACTTGTTCCCAGTCCCCGTCTAGCTCATTTCACCCAGGCTTTTACACACTGGCCTCCGTCCCATGGTTGCTGTCGGAGTTTCGGTTCTAAAGGAGCAGACAGAGGCCCCTCCTCTCCACAATTCCTCATGCTTCACTTTGCCCCAGCTTCCCTCCCCCAGGAGGCTGTACCATGGAGGGTCAAGGAACCCTGGGGTGGGGGCAGGGTCCCCTGGACCCCAGTTCTACCACTGAGACACCAAGCACTATGGTGATGTTTGCCTATGTCAGGCCCAGGTAACAAGCCATTTATCCCTTCTCCTGGCCTTTCTGTTCACACCAGCCCAAGCACTGGGCTTCTTGTTGGCAGTGCTAACAGGACCACTGATCAGGGGCCTTGGTGATGCTGAATCAGACCACGGCTAGTGTATCACCTGCTACCTGCCCTTCGTCACCAGCTGCTCTCTTCCCGACTGCCCAAGGCTTCAGGCCTTGCTAGCTGCAGGTTGGAGGAACAGAGGCTGGGAAGGCATTTAATGAACTTTCCTTAGAAATGGAGGGGGCAAGCTACACTTCTAGAAGCCCCCACAAACTGGGTCCAGGAAGGCCAGCATGTGGATGCAGGATGATCTCGTGCCAGGGTTTTTCTTCCTTTCCATAACCAGAGGGTCAGGACGCTGGTTACGGGGAGCTTGGGTGTGTACCCTAATGTATCCCACTTCTTTTGGCGACTACCCGTCTCTGTGTCTAGTCTGGAGTCCTTGCTTGCTGATGCTTCTCTGGGTGAAACATGTTTGATTTCAGCCTGTGGTCTGGGGAATCATCTCAGTAGGACAGTGAGATAGACTGTAACAGGACTTGGTGACACACCTCCATAACAGTTACCTGACAGCCACCAAGCCCCCCACGGTGAGGCCAGAGAGGGTTAGGAGGGAGACTCAGAAATGTACTGTGGTCTTCTCTCCCAAGGGCTGGCCATCTTTGATTCTAAAGTGGCTGAGGGCTGCCTGCTCTGCGCCTCCTCGTCCACATTCGCGTGGTACGGCTTGAACTGCTGCTCTGTGTCCTGCCAGGCAGTGGCCATGCCTCACAGCAAACAGATCGTGGCTCTTCCTGAGCAGCCCTTTGGCCGCCTCCAGCCTCTGGCTCTCTGGAAAAGGGTAGAGCCCTCTGGCTCAGTTTGCCTTGAATAGTGGGGCAGAGAGACTGCGCCCTTCTCTGGGAGCAGAGGACAAGGGAGAGGCCTGAGGGACAGGGCTGAGCCCCTGGGGGTCTTTTGGAGGAGTAAGGAGCACCTGCTCCCAGGGGGCCCTGTCTGGGCTTCCCTGAGGGATTTCCTGGCCTCTGCAGCCCTCTGCTCCCCACTTGTGCCCTGAGGAGGTGCAGGACATTGCTGGCCCCAACTCCTCTAACCATTGAACATGAGCCTCTTTATTTCCTGCAGCTTTGAAGAGAGGGTCCACCAAGAGTTTCTGTCGCCCCCAACCCCAGGAAAAAGAAAGGGAGAGAAGTCCTGAAAATAAACCCTGCAACAATCTTCAAGGAGAGACCTGTTCGAAGGCCTTTAATCCCTTAATCC